GGAGGAAGAGGAGGAGGAGGAGGAGGAGGAGAGACACTCCCGCGGACGCGGGTCGCCGCCTCGGCGGCCGCCGCGCCGAGCGCCCGCGGGTCGCAGGCACTCAGCACGGGAGCTGGCGGGCGTCGCCAGCTCGGCGCTCGGCGCCAGCGGCCCGTCGGGCGTTGCCCGCAGCCGCGAAGGAGGTGGCGGCAGCCCGCCATCTCGTCGCCCAGCGCCATGCGGAGGACGAACGCGTGAGGCAATCTGAGGGTGCCCCCAACTCCTGGACCAGTCCACGTGGAAGACCCAGTGCGCGCAATATGGATGCTTCTTCACCACTAGCGCGCGCCACGGCGTCGCTCCGCGGCACCAGCGGCCCTGCCGCTGCCCTGCCGCCCTGCGGCCCGCCCCGCTGCCGCCCTGCCGCCATGCTTCCCCTTGCCCTTGCCCTTGAACGCGAGCTCGCGGAAGCGGTCGAGCAGGAGCTGGAACTCCTCGGGGTCGTTCGGGATATCGTCCCGCGTCAGGGTCAGGCCGAAGCTCGGGCCCAGGGCCGCGAGCTCATCACGGAGCGCCTCGGCTCTCTCCATGGTGTAGTCCTCGTTCTCGTCGCTCTTGCCCAAGTCCTTGTCCTTGTCCTTGCCCTTGCTCCGACCTGTACTGTTCGGCGGGCGGCCCCGCTGCACGGGCAGCTCGTCCGCCCAGGCGTCGTCCAGCATCATTGGCTCGGCCGACGCTGCTGCCCCCTCCGCCGCGTCGTCCACCATCAAACCCTCCTCGACCGTCTCCGTCTTGCTCCCATCGCCCGCCCTCGCACCACGCCCGCGCGGGCGGCGCCGCCGCCGAGGGGCAGCGGGGGGCGCATCCGCCGCCGGCTGTGGCGGGGCGGGCGCACGGGGCGTCGCCAGCACGGCGACCGCCGTCCGGAGAAGGCCCTCGGCGGCGCGGATGAGGCGCACCGCCTCCCGCTGGCCGCCCGCCAGCCCAGCAGCCGCGTGCGTCGCCAGGACCGCGCCGCGCGCGGCCTCCAGCATCGCCCTCGCGGCGCGGGCGTCCTGCGTACCCTGCATCGGCCGGACGGCGGGCCGTCGGCCCCGCGGCGGCTGACTTGAGCAAAGATGGTACTGGAGGAGGAGGAGGAGGAGCGGGAAGAGGAGGAGGAGGAGTGCAAGTACCCAAAAAAGAGGAGGAGGAGGAGGAGGAGGAGGAGGAGGAGGAGGAGGAGGAGCGGGAAGAGGAGGAGGAAGAGGATCAGACCCTGGTCACCCGAAAAAGACCAGAGCGACTCCGAGGTCATGCGAAGCCGTCAGACAAGGTGGGCGACGATGGGGCCGGAAGCTCCTCTGTGACACTCGGCAGACCCCTCATGCTTCAGAAGACCCAATCGCATGCAATCGATCCACGTACTGCAAGAAACACAACTAGGAGGACGAGCATGGTGAGTATTGTGCACGAAGATCGTCAGGCGATCGCCCTGCGCGACGCGTAAAAAACAAGTTTTCTCTTGCGCTCCCGCGCCACCAAACATCGAGAAGCGCCCCCGCAGGAGGGCCGCAAGCTCGTTCCAAATCGAACCCTGGGCCCTGTACACATGCCATCCTGCGGCCTCTTGATAAGGTCCGTGCTGCCGTCTTCCTCCGGCGTTCCGCCCGTGTGCGGGGCCAGATTTCGAGCCCGCCCCCACAGACCGCCCCTGGGCGAGGCACAGAACGAGAACCCCTCCGCAAGGTCGGCAGAAAGCTGTGATCTTCATCGTCATCGCCACTGCGAAGGAGGGGGGATATGGAGAAGGGGGAGAGGGGGGAGGAGGAGGGAGGGAGGGAGGAAAGAGGGAGGAGGGAGGAACAGCATCGATCTCATCACCATCATCAGCGTCACCGCCGCGCCACACTTTTGCGATGCCTGGCCGGGCTTGGACACCCTGCGAGCACGACGCCCAAAACGTTCACCGACTACCGCTGCGCAGCGCGACGCAGCCCCGGGCCGAGGCTCAGCACGTGCCGCTAGCCGTCGTGGTACGAGTTCTCCTTCCTCGCCTTGGGCAAGGACCGCTTCGTCACTTCCTGGCCGCCCGTCCCACACAACTCTTGGAAGCTGGGCGAGGGCTGGAAAATCCGTGGCTGCTAAAACGGGTTTCCCGGAAGGAAAAAACACATTCCTGGAAGCAAGCTCAGCGCGCACTAACTAATACACGGGCTGCTTCCCGGAAGAAAACGACAATTTCCCCGAACTTCGTTTCAGCAGCCACGGATTTGCCAGCCGTCGCCCGGCTTCTGAACAATTCACGGAACCATTCTACGCGCGCCCCTGTCAAAGCATCCGCGCCCCTCTCGGAGTCGCCCCTCTAGCCGCTCCGAGCTGCAGCCTCTGTCGATCGGGCGCCGAGGCGTCTCCCAAGCCTTCCGCGCGCGCGGGAGGGCAGGAGGGAAAGGGTGGAGGCCTGCAACATTCAGCGTCTATGCGAGGCGTCATCGTCCAAGCCGCGACGCCCGCGGGCTCCGCGAAATCAGTCCGAGCGCAGAACCAGAAGCCCGAGCCTTCGTCGAACACTCGCGACGAGGAGGGACATGGCGAGGAGGATGGAGGGAGGAACGCGAGGCCACTCCAGCACCTGCTCCTGCTGCTCCTCCCCTGCCCCCGCTTCTCCTCCTTCTCCTCCTCCTCCTCCTCCTCTTCCTCCTCCTCCTCCTCCCTCTCCCTCTCCCTCTCCCTCTCCTTCAACCGAACCTGATGACACGTGCATGTTTGCCGCATGAACAGACGTGTCGGTAGGCCAGGCCGAGCGTCTTGCCTCTGAGACTCCCTCGGCTTGCATGTTCTTGCCGCTCGGACATTCCAGCGGCTACACCCACAGCCAACAATAAGGAAACCACGGGACGATATGTTACAACCGACCCGGCAACTACGCAGATGGCGGGTTCGGGAACTCTTAGAATCAACGTACATCTCCGGGGGGGCGCATCTTTCACTCCCGCCGCCCTCAGCTGAGCTTCTGCCGCCGCCTTCCGCCGAGGACGAAGCGTCAACTTCCAGAGATTCCCCGAGGGCAAAGCACTTTCTGGAACGCCCAAGATGGAGGACGGGCAATTCTCAGGATGCGGCCCATAGCGCCGCGCACATTTGTCCAGAAGCCGCCAGCAGGCACACGGCCGGAGGGCAGCTCCTGTCCAGGGCTGGGCTCCCAGTCTTGCGCAGAAGCTGCACGCTGTGCAGCAGTCACACGGTTGGGGGGGGGGAAGCAGCTCCTGCTCCACCTGGGGCTCATGGGGCTCCGGCTTGAGAACTACCCGAGCCTTGCGACCAGATGCCGAGGGCCGCGCACCACTTGAGTACGCGGGTGGAGGGCGGCTCCTCGTGGGGGGGGGGGAGGGGCGGCAACTCCTGCTCAACCTGGGGCTCATGGGGCTCTGGCCCGGGAGCTCCCCGAGCCTTGCGACCAGATGCCGAGAACCACGCACCACGTACGCGGATGGAGGGCGGCTCCTCGTCTAACTGGGCTCTCGCCGGCGTGGCCAGCCCGTGGGGCGCTCGCCTTGCAGGTAGCGTCTCGAGAATCAAACAGCAGGGCGACATGCGGAGGCACAGAGACTGTCGAGCTCTGTGGGCAACGGGGGGCAGGACGCAAAACAGCGGTGACATGCAACCAAGCACTGGTGAATCAAGAGGTACCGATATCGCTGCTCCCCAGATCTCTCCCGGAGTGTGTCCTGACCAGAACTTCGCGGCGAATCTGGCGGTGGCGACCAGGGACTCTCGAGGTCCCAGGAAGCCCCCACAGGTAAGGGAAGACGGGCGAAGGGTAGAGGTATGGGTACCTTTCCCTCCTCTGGAGCACGCTGGCCAGTCCTGGCGGGACCCCTGTGGGCCCGCACCGCACCCAAACATCCCATGCCATGTGCCTCGCGATGCGGGGCCCCTTGGGGGTCTGCCCCCCTTCCCCGGGGCCGGCTCTTCACCCCGACCCGTTCCTGGACGGCCCTGGGGCCCGGCGAGGGCCCCCCCAGAGGCGGCACATGGCGAAACACCTCCGCCTCTGATCGCAGGCCTAGAGATTGACACCAACACCAATGTCGGCGGTGTGCCTCCACCGGGGGAAGAAGATCCCGATCTCGGTGATGGTGGTAATATTCTGGCTTCCAAGGTGGCCGAACTATTACCACCAACACCGAAAATCTAGGATCATTTTCCCCCTGTGGAGGCAAGCCTCTGTCTTGGTGTTGGTGCCAATTTCCAGGCCTCCGATCTGAGCTCCTCGAGACCAATTGGAGGTCTGGGAAGGTCATTCCCCTGAGCCCGAGATCCGGCGCTGCGACCAAAATGCAGCATCGCGGCAAATCCTGCCCGGAGCCCCGGGGACCTCATCTTCCTGCGCCCCTTTTCCGAGCCGGGTCGATCTCCGTGAGGGCCCTGGAGCCCGACGACGAGCGCCAACGCTCGCATTAGTGTGACGCAAGGGGCAACGCCAGGATCCCAGAGATCCGACGTCGTGATGTTTCTCAATGCACGGGCCCCCGACCTCCCGTCCCATTGCCCGGGACCGGTTTCTCATCCAGAGTCGTGTTTCGAGGGCCCCGAGGCCCAGCGAGGGCCCCGAGAGGCCAAACGCGACGACAGACCCCCGCCTCGATCTCTTCGAGCCGCCCGCTGTCTGGGACCTCAGGGGCTCCGGCGCCAACCCAGACCCCCGACGTAATGATTTTTTCATTACGTCGACCCCCAGAGGTCCCGACCCTTTCCCCAGGACCGGTTTGTCATCCCGAGTCGTTTTTTGACGCTCCCGAGGCCCGGTGAGGGCCCCAGGAGGCCGAAAATGGCGAAAAACCTCCCGTCATGATTTTTTCATGACTCGAGGGGGTCTGGGTCTGGGACCTCATGAGGGGCTCCGGCGCCAAGGCCGCTCTTTCGCGCGCCGCCGCGGCCCCTCACGCCACGGGGGCGGGCCCCGCCGGGTAGCCGGCGCGGCCCGCCCCGCCGGCCGCCCGCGCGCCCGCGGGCGGGGCGGCGGCCCGCCGCTCGGCGGC